AATTTTTTATCCTACCACTTCAATAGCAGTGTTAGGTTATTATAACTATATATCCAAGGGTACTGAGCATTATGCAAAACTTTCGCTCCCAAGCGGGAGTTGAACTCGAGTTTCGTCCCAACCAGGGGCGCGTGCTATTATTTCACCAAGACCGTCGCTATGCTTTCACTCTAAGTATTCTCACCCTCGGTATGGGTGAAACGCGAGCACTACTTTTGAGGATATGCTATTTGTACCTTATCTGTTCGACATCAAGAAGATCCACCTTGTCACGGCGTCGAATGACTTTATAGGGGAGGCCTAGACAAATTCACAACCCTGAGTCATTATCTTTATTATTGCGACGTCCATAGACCTCATTTGTAGAGGGAATAGCGATGGAGCGTGACGTGTTTCCATCTAGCTGGTGGGGGTTTTACACGAAACTGACCAGTGATTCCCTGAGGCAGAGGTGGATACAGTGGACGGATTCCTTGTTTGTGCAGTCCCAGTTCGACACATCTCCTTCCAAGCACTTTAGGTTGGCCAAACCCCTGTAAGCAAGCGATAGCGAGGTACATGGGTGGCGGTTAAGAGTCGCCTTTAATCAGAAAGCTCTTCTTTTCCATCTGGAAAAGGCTCGCAAGCTACCCGTGAGTGCTCGGTTCACGTTCAGAGCTGGGCAAGCCAGGCGTTAAGTATAAAAACGTAACACATCAACCGAATCTGGACGGCAGTTGGATCGCGCGGCGCACCGCGATTTGTAAGGGGCGCTATGTGCGTCACTTAATGAGCGTTTTTTTTTTTGCTCTGTGCACCCATATGCTCTGATCCATATCTCTTACGTACAAGGAAAATTATGTGGGTGAAACATGATCTTCTTTTCGCTGTTACAACACTATATGAACACCATTATACAAATCAAATGTACAGTTTTGATCGCCAAAATTTCTGCTATCTCATGGTTACCGAACTTTCACTGAAAAGCTTTCAGCGAACCCTAACGTAGAACGTGATCTTAGTTTTGCTGCTACAGTGCTTCGAAAAAGACTCCAGAAAACAGGCAAGTGCTGTGATAGCCGAGATTCAAGCTTTCGAGTAATCATCGGAAGTTGAAGGAAATATCTCTATTCAACGAAAAAGGCTTTCAAATAATTGGGTACCTGAAGAGGTACACTCCGTCCTAAACGGGTTGAGAAACGGGGCTCATTCCTCTGACTCCGAAAGAGCCACCGATACGGCAATTTTATGAAGCCAAGTCAACTTACTGAATGCACTTCAATATGTTCAAAATGTTTCAAACAAATTTTGGTGTGCATTGGTGTACAGTTTCTGAGTTTTTTGTTGATATAATTTGTTTTTTAGGAGTTATTTGTTGCTGAGCTAGCAAAAGCATCCTACACTCAAGCTGTGTTGGAGAAGAGAAAAACTATTCAAGCGAAAGATCTAAGTAAGGACTTTTACTCAATGATCTCTTCATAGTGTCATTTATATGAATCTGTTCGCTTTTTTTCGTGTTTTGGAACACTCATTTCGAAGAATGCTTGGTTTTTCTCTCATAATTAGAGTGACATTCACTGTTTCTGTCGATATGGTTCCTGGTTCTGTTGAGATAACATTAACGGTTTAGATAGAGCAATAGCCTCAAAGGCTATGTTCGATTTCCTTGAGGATGCACTTACGGGTTGGCCTGAAAAGGACGGTGTCTCTCAAACAACGATTAATCCAGAGGAAGTCGTTACCGAAGAAGATAGCATTGTTGAAAGCAGCACAGAAAATCCTGACGATGATATGGAAGGAGTATGTTTATTGTTATCATTCGCTATTTTCATACAACATCATACTTTCTCCATTTCTTCTTTAATATCATTCAGTTCAGTGATATAAGTTTATAATCCTTGGCACTTTGTTAGTCCGTCTTCGCCCTGTTTTTCACCGTGCGAATCCCAGCACTTTTAGCATTCAGTCATTTTTCATCTTCTCGAAAAACGTATAGAATACTGGTCGAACACTTTTCCTTGCAATCTCGAGGATAGCCTGGCTGTGGGGTTCCATAGGGCGTTCGTTGTTGGCTGCCGGAGGGTGTTGAGGGATGGGTCTACGCTCACACTCGCTGCGACGAGCGTCGCAACCACTCGGCCACAGCACTTCGTGTTTTTTATAGTGAATCATATGTTTACACCACCCGGTAGCACAATATGGGGCACCGTGGCCGAGGGGTTATGTTGCTCGTCGCGAGCGCTTGGAACTGAGCTCCACCTCACCCCCGCCGTCCTCAGCTCTCTTCGGCAGTCAACAACAACGCCCTGTGGAACGCCATAGCAGGGCTATCCTCGAGATTTCAAGGAGACTCGCTCAACCAGTATTTTATGCCGTTCAAGAAGAAGACGAAAAGCGAATTGAATGCTAGAAGTTCCGTGGTTTGCACTGTGAAAAAACACTATGATGACGGATCATATAAGGTGCTAAAGATATCACTATGTGCTGTTTGAATTCCAGAACTTTTAGCCTTAGGATCGTTTCCTTCCATTCATCCCCACAAAGGTTTTTGAAGATTTCGCATGTTGTTTCAACGGCTGCTGAGTATGACGTCTTTTTATGAGTGACGTAGAATAAACAACTTTTCCTCACAATCTTGGAGATAGTGGAGAAGGGTTGATCGATTGTAAGAGAGTGCTGGAAAGAGAATCGAGCCAACGTTTCCTTTATCACCTTGCGTCCTGGTACACCGCACAACTGGCCACCGCACTATCGCTGGAGCTATGAGTTACGTGCTCTTTGACCAAACTCACCGGTTCTAATCCTATATCATGTCACATTTTGGTTTAGAGAATAAGCATTTGTGCTATTCCAATCATTTCAGTTTTATTAGTTCTCACTAATCTTTGATTTCTTCTCAGCAAGAACTATATGCTACAGTTCTTGTTTATAGGTCACTCATGATCCAAGGATTACCGAAGATCCTAGTATCTCACGAGACGACGCAATGGACTAGGAATTGGTATAGTTTTTACCAATGCAATTGATTCTTTGTATCTACGGTATCTATGTATCTATGTATGTATCTATGTGCTTAAATGGCAGCTTTTTTGCTACTTTATTATTATACTCGCAGTCTTCTGTAAATTTCAACATTGATCCTTTTTGGATTGCAGTTGTAAGAGCCCTTTGCGCAGCGCCATTTTTGTCACTTCATCAAGGTTTTCTTTTTCTTTGTTTTGGTAAAGTTTTCAAGTTTCTTTTGTGCTTTTGATGTTCCATGTTTTCCTATATACCCTCCCATGTTTTTTGTACATATAAAACGCTTACACGTAGAGAAAAAACGCTCGTCTACTATGCATTCATACTGCTTTGGCGAGTTAGATATGTTAGAATCTCGCCTGAAGGCAAACCCAGTGTTAGAATCGCCATTTTTCTGGGTTCTGAGTGACGGCTAAAATCTAGCAAAAAGGCAAGCAAGAACGATAGCCGAGCATTTGATATGCACGTTGAAGACGGGAAGCAAATTTCTGTTTGCTTTTATTGCGTTCTTGGGAAACTTTTGGAGAAACCAAGCCCAGTTCAAATCGTCATTTTTCAAGCTAACGAATGACTACTCAAAGCTCTACGGAAAGTTTTCGTATAACGAAAAAATCCAAATTGTCATGTACAATCAAACACTCTGTTCTGAAAGAGTTAAATGTGCTCAAACATAGCCTGCTTTCTCCAGTAGTGTAGTTAGTCGATAAACATCTGTACGACGAAGGGATTTGTGTCGCTTTTGTTTTGTAACAGCGCATGAAATCTAAAATATTGGTACAAATTACAAAAGGAACATTTGGAGATGTTTTCAATCGATTATAATGTTGTAATTTTAATGTTCTGAGGTGTCACTATTTGGTATCTTCCTAGAAGAAATGTTATTTTTCTTGGTTTTCTTGGTAACATAAGTCTTGATAATGTAGATTGTAAGTTCAGGAAATCTGTATATTTAGACTAGTTACAAGGATCTTTATGTGACCTAATACCGCTGTTTTTCCTGAGTTTTTTCGCCTGCGAACGTCCTCTTCTTTTGATGGCTCCGTTTCGACTGCGTCGTCTGAGAATGGAGTGCAAGCTTTTGTCTCGATCATAGAATAGTCACAACATTTCATATAATTCTATGTCGTTAATTTCAAATAACCAACATTATACGACCTGTGAGCAAGAACTTAAGCTTTCAGTTCTAGAATGACAGATAAGAGAGGTTTAGTTTTAGACGAGGAGTAACTGCATGGTTTTCCCTAACTTTAGAGAGTGTATTTGAATGAGTTCGGATAATTTATAAGTGAGCTCATGAGAAAAGTACGTAACTAAAGCCTGTATAGCCGAATATGTTGACAAGCAGGTTGACCACTCTGCGTTCGTTCAAAGGGACATCTAGGAACCTCAAGGTCAAACATGGAAAAAGCACGAAAGCTTAACGAAGAACATCTCGACATAGAAAGAAACTCGCACAGAAATGCGAAACAGTAGCGCGTAAAACTCGTTAAACTTCCGAATCAATTTCAGAAATCCGAAATGAGTGGAAAAAGGTGTGCCTTGTGGTCGTACGTGACCTCGTTCCATACCTCGGACTAATTTTTTGACTAAATAAATCTTATTCCTCACTCACTCACGTAATAGGACTTTGAGCGACCCGTTTTCAACAATAAATGAAAGATTTATAAAAATTGCGGTAACTGTATGGGAGATTTTTATGTGGAAATACTTTATATACTACCTAAGACGGGAAATGAACACGCGTTTCACACATACCGGGGTGTGTGCTCCCACTGCGCCACCAAGAGATCGTTTCGCTACCACTCAACACTCTCAGGCATATTTGAAACATCATGACACTGCGAAAAAGTAGTAAGAACATAAGAAATCTTGGGTACTACATATCACGGCGTCTGCCAGTTTAGCCGGCTTTATAGAGCGGTATTGCATAGCCGACCACACCTGTTATAGGTGGTCAGTGATAGCTATAATAGAGACACTGAAGAACGAGCTGGTAGCGAGACGTTAACTCGGTGTTGTAGTGGTAGCACGCGTCCCCGGTGTGGATGAAACGCGAGTTCGACTCCCGTCTGACGTCGAGTTTTGCTCGCTACTTAATTCTCTTTGGTATATTTGAAATATCTTGACACTGCGAAAAGCAGTAAAAGCATAAGAACTATTGAGTTTTACTTATATACTATTTTCTTTTTTGGTTAGGGAAGTGTTTATTGCGTGTATTAAGTGTCATTCAAGCTTTGAAGCTCCGGATAGATGATACTATCCAAATGTCAGCCATCACAGAACAAATACTGTCATGAAAAAACGTGTGTTTGCTGAAGAACAAAACACTGACTCGATATATCAGTAGTACTTCTGTTCAGCAGTTCCGAGTTGTTGAATATAGTATTTATTGAATACTAGTAATACAGTACAATACAGTGAAGCATTAATGCAGAACGAATATCACAACAGTCGAGGTGACTTGCGTTTCGGCAAGGTTCGCCATCTTCAGAGCCTGGAAAGGTCAAATTGATTCTCAAATCATTCACTCAAAAGCCTCCACACTATCAGCAGAAAACGTAAGTAGCGAATTTTTGGATCGCATAGTAAAAACTTCATTACAAAACATACTCACCGCTTAGATGTTTTAGGTCTTTCAATATTCATTCAAGATCTGCCACTCAGAGTGCGTGAGTGAGACTGTGCCTAGCTCAGGCCGGGAAGGTTAGTTTGAGGTATGGTGTGAGGTCACGCGTTATTACTGAGGTTATGGAAGCATTTGACTAAATGATTAAGAATTAGTCAGAAATTATTTTTTTGACCGCCACTTGCGGTGTTATGAGGTTACAATATACCCAATGGTGCAGAGTGCTGTGCAAAAACGTGATCATTTCTGATTGACTACTGATACCCAGTATCTGTCAACAAAAGGTGGGTTCAATGTCGTTGACGACTACCCCCCAGAGCGTAGACGGTTGGCTGTTGACAGATAACGCGTTGTAGCGTAGAAAGAGTGCTGTGCAAGACGAGCGTCGGTGGTGCAACGGTTAGCATACGCTCCCGGAAAGAGTGAGATGTGGGTTCAAATCCCGGCTGACGCAAACGTTTTTGCATAACACTGTGCACCATTGGGTAAATGATTAAGAATCATACCTTTATCTCGAGTGCTTTGTTTAGACCACGCTCAAATTTCAATATATCCTTTCATCATTATTTGAGCCAACATGTCATGTGGTCTGGTAAGGGCTCTTGTACAGCCCGAGACACGTGTTTGGTCCTTACAGACTCATCGGCCGGGCAGAACCCGTCGTCTGTCGATCTCTTCATAGCCAGTTCTCTCGGGAGCGTCACACTCCTTATATATAGTTATCGACGACGTACGCTTTACACTCTATGTCAAGTGAAACATTCACCTAACACCGAGTGTTGTGCACTCGATTGCTCATTGGCTGGTACTTTTGTCATAATTATACCTTTATCTCGAGACCACACCCTTACCAGACCACATGACATGTTGGCTCAAATAATGATGAAAGGATATATTGAAATTTAAGCGTGGTCTAAACAAAGCACTCGAGATAAAGGTATAATTATGACAAAAGTACCAGCCAATGAGCAATCGAGTGCACAACACTCGAGTGCACAACACTGTTCTCATGACAGATAATCACATTTCGTTTGAACATGTTGCTATGATGAGTTTGCGTATCTGCAACCGCTTCTTCTCCTTCTGTGGCATAAAACTTGGAGAAAAACAACTCAGACCTTAATGGATTCGCTAAGCATCTGTGTTGTTGTGGCACGGGCATCGCCTCCATCGGTATATTCTGCTGCATCGTGCACATAGCCATTTCACGCACATCGAAACTGTGTTTCTGTCAGTAACGCATTTTTGGGTTCCCATCATACCTATACATGATTTTAAAAGTCTCTCAAAACAGCTGTTTAACCTTCTGGCGCCTAATGTGTTGTGAGTGGTGCACTGGACTTTTCGTGATTATCTCGTCTCCCACAGATCGCTACTGTATTTTCATCAGTCACTTTGTATCTTGAGGAATGGCAATTTTAACATTGTGCTTGGCTTCTCTTGATGTGCTGTAGCAACGAGGGAAAATTCACGTTTTTGTTCGTAGTGCGTGACGTGTCTTATAAGTGCACTTGTTTCTTTCGTACTTGTTTTCGCCGGGCAGGCTTTCTCATTAGTGTTTTAGTAGTCATTTGATAGCCTGAAAAACGGTTATTTCAAATACGTTACTGGGCTTCTAGAAAGGCTTTTCTGTGCGTTATAGCATCTACGACAAAATTACGTTCCACCTTAAGCGCGCAATGTTTGCACGGCTCGCGTCTGTGCACGACTTTTTACTAAACTTTTTAGCAGACAATCGATGGCTTAAATTGCGATGATCTTGAAATTAGGCAGGATCTGGAAAGGTTCATATAAAGCGCTGTAAGGACGAAAAGATATTTTGCAGTTGAATAGTTATCCCATTACTAGAAATAAAAACTAATAACTATAGAACGATAGAACTCCTTATTTTTATAGAGGTTCCAAGTTCAAACTACACTAGTCATTAGAAATTGTTGAGAATTGTCGGTGAGGTGGAACTCCTTTCAGAACACAGTATCTCATTGTTTTCTTCATATATAAGAGTTGTATGTATACGAAAAGCATTTAAGCGTGCTGCAGAAATCGCGGGTTGCCAGAGCAATGCTAGAAACCTAAGAATGTTCTCAAAAGGAACAAAAAACCTCAACTGTCTAAAGAAACCGCCGACCGCTTGCCAATTGCACTACACGCGGTGATTTTAGCCGTGCTCCCGAGAAGGTTAAAATATAAATCTCACCATAAAATATACATAAGTGGAAAATATAGTTGAGATATAGAAGTCAAAATGACATCTTCTAAGTAGATTTCTATTTTATAGGTCGTTTCATAAGTTTTGGCACTAGAGCAATAAATACCAAATTTATTGACCTAGAAGTAATTACAGTTGCATGGTTTTGATATCGTTCAACTGCACATTTTCTTCCGAACATTCTGGTGTGCAACTTGGCTATACTTGCCTTGAGATCGAGCTCTCTTGGGAATAAATTCGCTTGCTATTCATGCACGAACGAAACCTGGAGGGAAATGCTAGTAAAGCGGCGCGCGAGATTAATGGAGCTTGGGGCGATGATATGTTCCAGGAAGTGATTCCCAAACTTCAGAGGTGGAGAGAACATTACGGAGGAACAATCGCAGTCAGTACGTCCACAGGAAGCTCCATTAATCTTGCGCGCCGCTTTACCATCATTTCCCCCTAGGCTTTGTTCGTGCATGAAAAGCAAGCAAGTTTATTCTTAAGACAGCTCAATCTCGAAGCAAGTATAAGCAAGTTGCACACCAAAATGTTTGGAAGAAAATGCTCTAGTGAGCGATGCAAAAATCATGCAATTTCATCTACTCTTTTGGTTGAAATTTGATATGTCTAGTGCTGAATTTATGGAATGCCCTAATATTAACTAACTTATGCATTAGGACACTATTTACGCTTACGGCTTTAGCAGTGTTTTGTCATTTTTATCAAGAAGCTCTTCAAATATTCTATAGAAGAAGAGGATCGCTTCAATCAAAGCTTTTGAACGTCAAAACAGCATTCTTTCCCAATCTCGATGTTCAATTACTTTGGCGGACTAAGAGCTAACTGTTCGCCCAAAAAGACACGAAAGCGTCATATGAGAAGGGTCAGAAGAGAACATCAACTATAGAACTGCGGTAGAACAATAATGTTTTACGCCGCTTGCCTTTCTAATAGTATCTTGAAATATTAACTAATTCGCATTGACACATTCATCCATACTTCAATCTTAATATTTTGAGTAGGCACTTGGTTTTTTCACTCCGGATTGTTGGCAATAAACTGTGTGACTCGTTTCTTGAAGGACTGATTTCCGCAAAATCGCGCGATATGACTGCAGAGTGATAACAACAATTGGTGGAAGATTATGATTGAAGCATTTGAGCAGTGAAATGTTACATAATCTTTTGCCCCTGATCCTTTCCTTAACAGCAAAGTCTGTTATTAAGAAAGGGCTTTTTTAGCGAAAATTCTCCAGAAGAGGTTAAACATTTGCCGCGATCATCGTAATATTCGCCTCTGCAACAGAATATTGCAAAAGTATTTCTCCCAACCGAGTGTGTAAGCTATTCAAGAGGCAGAGCGTTTACTGATTTCTAGATATTCTGTTGTGGACGCCCTTGACGCTTAGAAAAAATGAGAACATGGACTACTCTTTAACTTGTCGCGATGTGTGTGAGTCTAATATATTATTTTGTGTAAATATCTCGAAGGCTCTCTCAATTTTTGAAAGTCAGCAAAGAATGAGGAATCGATGATTTCTGACACCACTATGTGTTCTTTGCCTGGATTCTCGCAAACCTCACGAAACTTTCCAAATGATTGAAAATGAATAATGGTGCAACTCATCCGAACCCTCAAATTCTTCGAAAAGCCAAAGCACGAAGCTCTCAGGCTTTGAAAACTCTTGGCGCTAATCAGTTCTTAAGAGGTGGGTCATACATTCGTCTTAATCTTTAACGTTTGAGGTGGCTGAATGTATATCTGGCCTTTATGATGAATCGCGGTGGCATACCGATATGCCAAGTTGGTGCTGTTAACCCCTTGAGAGGTCGGGTACTAATTCACCGACCCCAGAGATGAAGGCGCTATGAGCCTCGAGTGTGGGACCAAACCATCAACCACCGATTAGTCGTTTACATGTGTGTCGCAGAGCACCTCTATCCATTGTGCCACGCGCACCGGAAGGTTAGCTATTGTAAATCGAAGGACGTTAGCTTCCCGCATCAGCTCAGCAAGCATACTTTGCAAGAATGTGATAAGTTGTCCAATGAGTGCAGAGGTTTACTGAAATTTGTCTGTTAGAATCACCTGTTTATTGTCTTGAGCATTAGATATATTCATTTTCACTGATTTTAATAACTTTACACAATGAACTATAATATTGGTTGAATTCAAAAATCTTCCATCCTTATTACGTGCTCCTTCCCCTGCACTTCCTCCTCTGCGTACAAAAGTTGGGAACATCCGAGTGCTAAAGA